ACTGCCATTTTCTTATCTGAAATATGGATCATGAGACGGGCCATAATTATGTGAATATAAATCAAGAATCGATGCAAAAAGCTACTTTCTTTCCTTTCTTCCAGACGCGAATACGTACCTAGGTTAGTAAAACCCTTACCCGTATAATCCGCATCTGGCCACTACTTCCAGTCTGCCTTAATCAATTATTTAAAGTTTCATAAGAAAGGAGGTTACAATTTTGTGTACAAATATACAGAAATATTAATTATTGTTTAAACAAGAATTTTTTTTATATATGACATATAGAAAGTGACAATAAATTAATTTTGAGAAGTAAATTAATACTAAAAAAAAAGTTAATAAAAAAATATATATATATACAGGTTGGTCCTAAAATTTGTGTCAAAAATGTAAAGGTAGGTAGAGAGGACTTAAATAAGCAAATTTCGTATAGGATTGTGCGTGCAGTAATGCCGCCTTGAGCCGGTAGGGTGCGCTGATGACTGCGGCGTATGAAAGCGCTTACTAGCTCGATTCCCGCACGGATCTCAAACAGCATGCATCGTTTCACCGATGTGGAGCTTGCTGACGTACATTTCATGTATAGGGGCCATGTCCAGTTCACTGGCCACCGCGTTCTCCTGATTTAACCTGCTTGGATTTTTTATTTTGGGGTCATATTAAAAGCCTGGTGTACGAGAGTCCCATCAAAGATCTTGTTGCCCACTTGTCTGTTGCTGCTTTACATGAGCTCGGCATGCCTAACGTCTTTTCTAATGCACTAATTAGAAAAGACGATCTATGCGCCGTCACTGTGAATCTTGTATCGATGTTGGTGTCTGCTCTTTCGAGCACCTCTTGTAAACTGTTGATAAATTTTCATTTTCTTTTGTCTTTACTTGTCTTTTCAATTTCCTCTGATTCATACTGTTTTACAAGCTAGTGCTTTAATGTGCCATTACCGCACACACATTCCTATCCGAAATATGCTTATTTATCTCCCCTCTACCTACTTTTACATTTTTGACATATATTTTAGGACCACCCTGTATATATATTTTAGTTCTCCATTAAAATTTTGATTTCCAGGCATTAAATAATAAAAGAAAGTAAGTAAAATGTTATAATAATAAATAAAATACTAAATAGAAAAGATATTTACAATATTAACAACATACAGGTAAGCATTCCAAAATATATAATTTTTCTTTCTTTATATTTAAAATTTTAGAATATTATCATAATCAGAAAGAAAATTCATTACTAATAATAATTTGGTTTTAAGCGTATTGTTAGTTATGAATTGTTTTTGCCAGGTTGGTAGATTAGTGATATTTGATGCACGCGTATGCCATGATGCTGTATAGATGCATTCACTAAGATAGTGTTCTGGAGTGCCCAGAAGGCCGCACGTGCATGATTATTATTGGAGATGTTTAGATTTTTAAAATAACACGGAAAAGGACCATGCCCAGTTAGAAACCAGATTTCTTGTTTTGATGGTATCGTTTTAAAATAATCTATTTTATTAAATCTTTTTCCCTTATCTGAATTGTTCCAATAATTTTGCTAAATTTTTGATAAAGAGTTCTGAAGTTGATTCTTAAGATGTGAGATCGGGAAGGGATATGAGTAATTTTGTTGTTTAGTTGTTGATAATTTAGCTAGAGCATCTGCATTTTCCTTGCCTGTTTTGTCGTCAAGTGCTTTTATCCATGAGATAAATATATTTGTATTAAGGAGTAATTTTTGTATTTTAGCCGAGAGTGAATTTTTCGTTCCTGGATTGATTATAGAGTATAGTACTGATTTACAATCTGACCAGATTGTATATTTTCTTGACGCCTTAAATGAAGTTTGTGCTTTGATAAATCTAATGCATTCTAAAATAGCAAGTTGTTCAGCTTAAGCTAATGTCAAAAATATAGCAAGTAAAGCATATCAACATAAAACTAAAAGTCTTACATTTTTATTATCCTTGTAAAAGACTGGATTTAAAAGCCATTAATAATTCAGATATCCTTCCATATTTGCCCAAATTTTTGAACTAGTCATAGTATACCATTTATCTGTTTACTTAAAATATGTAATGCATTTTATGTTTTATGTAACAGAGAGGGCACCGTCTCGGACCTCATTAAATTTAGTGCATTAGAGATTAAAAAAAATAAGCAGGATGATTTTTCTTTAGAGAGATGATCTAATTGAAACATTGAGCCGTGAAGACTCAGGGGATAGAGCATTCGCTTCCAAAGAGGCGAACCGGGTTCGAATCCCAGTCGATACGAATCTGCATCCGGATAGCGCTGACCACAGTGCTAACTTGACATATCCTCAGTGGTAGACGGACCTCCTTGGAGTCCTTGGTTGGAGTCTCCTTGCCGTTAGGCTAACCATGGGGGTTCTCCTGCTTATCTGCAGCATGTAACGCAAATGCGGGTTAGCTTCAGAAAATATCCTCCACGAAGGCAAAATTTCTACCAGTACTCGATCCATGAGTTTCCTTGTCTTCTGGATTGAATTCAAAATTACATGGCTACGGATTTGACCATTAGTAGTCGTAATCCCATAAAATTGGGTCGGCTGTTCAATGACGGTTATAAAATAAAAAATTGAAGCATATTTTGTTGCCTTGATATCACAGTCACAGTGTTTGTGCTCTCTGTGAAAGCCATGCGGATTAGTTCCCAAAAGCATTCCTACACGATTGTTTGTCCTTCAGGTTGGCTTAAGTTTGCTAGTTTACATAGGTGAACATTAATATAAGTGAATCAAAAAATTGGGTCGGCTTTCCAGTGCTGGTTATAAAATAGCTAAATATAATATATTAATCCGGAAATTTTAAAAATGAGTCTATTGCAACTTTATAACAGAAGCATAAAAGTCTATACTTCACTTAAAACGTTCTGTAAAGTTAAAACTAAACCTCATTGCCTGGAAATATTTTAAATCTAAAATCCCGATCATTTATTTTTTGTCATTTGGGTAAATTTCTCAAAATATTGAAAAGAGCAAACAGAAACATTTAAAAGAAACAAAAAAAAATGTTTTTTCTGAGAATTTTTAATTAATTTAATGATCGTATTTATGCATTTTTAGGAAATAAACACTAAACCAACCAAAACATTGATTTCAATGTATTTTATTTAATATTATAAAGCTAGCACAATTTTTGTTTTAAATTTATATTTTTATTAAACGTTTTCTTAGTACTAATAAATATTTCGTACCGATAACGCAAATCTAAGTATTACATTACCGATAAATACCATTTCTACAAATAGAAAAATTATTACTGAATTGAAAATTAAAATTACGTTGGACTATCAGTTATTAGTATACTTATTAGTATAAATTTTATATTAGGACAAACGTCTAGTGTCACAGGGCAAATTTGGTAGTTTATAATATTGTTATTGTAATGTATTTGATATATGCGACAGTAAATCTGAGCTTGTTAAAACTGAGGGAGTTTAAATCATTTATATTGGAAATTCAATGAATAGATTTTTGACCTCAATTAAATTTCATCATAAATTATTAGAGTATCATTACTCAAAAATAGTAATATGGAGCTGGAAACGAGATGTTTTTTTAGTGTTTAAAAACTTTACTTATTTTAAGTAAAGTTTTTCATAACACTAAAAAAACATCTCGTTTCCAGCTCCATATTACTATTTTTAAGTAATGATACTCTAATAATTTATGATGAAATTTAATTGAGGTCAAAAATCTATTCATTGAATTTCCAATATAAATTATTTAAACTCCCTCAGTTTTAACAAACTCAGATTTACTGTCGCATATATCAAATACATTACAATAACAATATTATAAACTACCAAATTTGTTTGGCATTAAAAACACACTAATGTTTGGCATTAAAAACTAATGTTTGGCATTAAAAACACAAAACATGGATATATTATACTTTGTAAGATCCTTACATAATTTTGTATTTTAAAAAAAACAAAATTATAAGAAGAATGAAATATATTGAATGAACAAGTATTTAAATACAATAATTAAAAAAACAAACAAACCTGGGTGGGATTTGAACAAGCAATCAAGTCCTCCATTGGGTCCGCATTCTTTATGTTCAACGGGTTCTTGGGGTACAACTATAAAGTTAAAAATTACAAATTACTTTAAATCTATTTAAATGTAATATATTTTCCTACAGAGTAATAAATTAATTATTAATAAGATTATAACTACAATTTTCTAATCAGAAATAAGAATTACGAGACGGGCCATTATTATTTGATTATAAATCAAGATCTGTTGCAAGCAGCTACTGTCTAAAAAATAACATGTAAAACATATCAACATAAAAATAAAAGTCTGAAATTTTAATTATGTCTGTGAAAGACTGGATTTAAAAACCATTAATAATTCAATTATATCCTCAGTGGTACACGAATCATGGGTCAGAGTCCTCTTGCCGTCAGGCTATCCATGGGAGATTCTCGCGGTCTTCCTCTCCATGTAACGCAAATACGGGTTGGCTCAATCAAAATGTCCGACACGAATACAAAATTTCTCCCTATACTCGATCCAGGATTTCCTTTGTCACCTGGTCGACCAATACAATACTTTTAGCGAAATTGGAAATTAAAATTATGCTCGATTATCAGTTATTAGTATTCTTTAAGACAAGCGTCTAGTCACAGGGCGAATTTGGTTTTTTTTTCATACTGTTATTATAATGTATTTGTTATTAGCAGCAATAAATCTGAGCTTGTTAAAACTGAGGGAGTTTAAATCCCTTATATTGGAAATTCAATGAATAGATTTTTGACCTCAATTAACTTTCATCTAAAATTAATAGTGTATCATTACTGTAAAATAGTAATATGGAGCTGGAAACGAGATGTTTTCTTTAATGTTATGAAAAACTTTACTTAAAATAAGTAATGTTTGGCATTTAAAACTCAAAATCTGGATATCTTATACCTTGTAAAATCTTTACACCCTTATGCATTTAAAAAAAAACAAAATTTTAAGAAGAATGAAATATATCTAAAAAACAAGTATTTGAAACCCATAATTAAAAAAAAAAACCTTGGTGGGATTTGAATCAGCAATAATCATCTCCATTGTTTCCGCATTTTCTATTATCAACAGGTTCTTGGGGAACAACAATAAAGTTAAAAATTACAAATTACTATAAATCTATTTAAATGTAATATATTTTCATACAGAGCAATAAATTAATTATTAATAAGATTAGAACTACAACTTTCTAATCAGAAATAAGAATTATGAGACGGGCCATTATTATTTGATTATAAATCAAAATCTGTTGCAAGCAGCTACTGTCTAAAAAATAACATGTAAAACATATCAACATAAAAATAAAAGTCTGAAATTTTAATTATGTCTGTGAAAGACTGGATTTAAAAACCATTAATAATTCAGATATCCTTCCATATTTGATGATTTTTCTTTAGAGAGATGATCTAATTGAAACATTGAGCCGCGAAGGCTCAGGAGATAGAGCGTTCGCTTCCAAGGAGGCGAACCGGGTTTGAATGCCAGTCGATACGAATTCCGCATCCAGCTTGCGCCGACCACAGTGCTAACATGATGTATCCTTAGTGGTAGACGGAACTTGGGTTAGAGTCCCCTTGCAGATAAACTAACCGTGGAAGGTACTCGTGGCTTTCCTCTCTGAGTAACACAAATTCTGACTAGCTCCATTAAAATGTCCTCCATGAAAGCAAAATTTCTCCCAATTCTCGATCCAGGAGTTCCCCTGTTTTCTGGATTAGGTTCAATATTGCAAGGCTATGGAGTTGAACATTAGTAGTCGCAAATCCATAAAATTGGGTCGGCTGTTCAATGACGGTTATGAAATAAAAAATTGAAACATATTTTGTTGCCTTGATATCACAGTCACAGTGTTTGTGCTCTCTGTGTAAGACATGAGGATTTGTCATTTAGGTTGACTACACGAATGTTTGTCATTTAGGTTGACTTAAGTTTGCTAGTTTAAGAAGGTGAACATTAATATTTGTGAATTAAAAATTGGGTCGGCTTTCCAGTGCTGGTTATATAAAAGCTAAAGATAATATATTAATCCGAATTCTATTCCGAGTCTATTGTTCCTTTGTAAAGGAAGAATAAGCTACTATACTACACCTAAAAACATTCTGTAAAGTTAAAACTAAAACTTATAGCTTGGAAACATTTTAAATCTAAAATTCCGAACAATTATTTTTTGATATGGGTGAAATTTTCTCACAATATTTATAAGAGCAAACAGTAACATTTATTTTGGATACGAAAAAATATTTTTCTGAGAATTTTTTATTAATTTGATATATATATATATTTAAGAATTTTAAACAAATAAAAACTAAATCAACCAAAACATTGATTTAAATGTATTTTATTTTATATTATCAAGATATTGCAATTTTCGTTTTAAATTTATATTTTTATTAAAAGTTTTTATAATACTAATAAATATTTGGTACCGATAACGCGAATCTAAGTATCTAGGTATTACATTACTAATAAATATCTGGTCAACCAATACAAAAGTTATTGCTGAATTTGAAATTAAAATTACGCTGGACAATCAGTTATCACTATACTTTAAAGCAAACGTCTAGTGTCACAGGACAAATTTGGTTATTTATAATACTGTTATTGGAATGTATTTGTTATTAGTGATAATAAACCAGAGCTTGTTTAAACTGAGGCAGTTTAAATCCCTTATATTGGAAATTCAATGATTAGATTTTTATCGTCAATTAAATTTCATCTCAAATTAATAGTGTATCATTACTCTCAAATAGTAATATGAAGGTGGAAACAAACGAGATTCTTTTTAATGTTATGAAAATCATTACTCAAAATAAGTATTTGTTGCACAAAAACCTAAAACATAGACTCATTAAGAAGATAGATCCATTCAAAGAAACATAGATTCATTTCTTACATCCCTTTGTATTTAAAAAATATATATATCAGAAGAATATATTAGGAATATAATGAATGAACAAGTATTTAAAACCGATTATTTAAAAAAAAGTCAATATATAAAAAATAGTGTAAGTTACAATTTTGTTTTTGTGATCAAGAGTTTGTACAAAGGAAAAAAAACGGATCGTAAAAAAAAAACTGTATCAGTGTATTATTTGTGAATGTTTTGCGATAAAATTGCAGATTCCGCCCTATTCAGTGCCTAATGTAATTAAATGGTTCTAACTTATTACTCCATAATTTAAGAAAAAAAAAGTATTTACTTTCTCTTTCGGCATAACATTGAAGGAAAAACATGATCAATATCATCACTGAGAAGGAGTTCATTTTCTCTAATGCTGTGGAATTCTGAAAAGTATGAAAAAAGAATCATCAAAATAGCTGTTTTAAAATATATATGTAAGTAGAATTTCTTTTTTCAATTCAAGTATATTTTAGCTCTAACCATTCAATACACTCTCAGAAGTACTGTAGGTGCAGGGAATACACGGGCCACTCTCAGGGCTAAAGAGAAAATAGAAGGGCTGGTTTACACCTTGGAAGAAATTATCTCGTCGTGCACCTCCTCCGATTTCCAACCGTAACGTCACGGCCACGCAAAGCGTGCACTTTTACTTCAAGAACGGAGCGTTCGGTTTAACTAGCTTTAACTATTATTGAAGCCGTCTTTCTAACTAGCTCTAACTAATATTAGAGCATTCTTTTGTGACATATTCCAAGACATTCCTTGTCTTCTATAACGGTTTTCCTCAGTTTTCTGAAGTGAATTACAAAAATTTAAATTTATTAACGAAATGGCAGTTTGTGCGATTGCAACTAGCAAAAATTTTCATAGAAACACAAAAGGAAAAAATATAATTTTCCACGCGTTTCCTGAAGTAAATGAACAGCTACGTAAAGAATCGATTCAACGTTGCAAACGAAATGACCCAGTTAATATAAAACAACAATACGTTTATTCTGTCGTTTAAGAACTTTTTCTAAGAATTCGACATCTAAATAGAAACCGCCTTATTGCTTCAAAAAGAAAGGCAGGCAGAAAAATCAAAAAATAGATATACTCAAAGAAAATTGAAACTTAAAGTGAAATGTATAAATAATGAATAGTTGAATTTCTCCTAATTTCAAAGCATATTTTTTAATTTAGTTATTCTAAATATTTATGATATTTTTAAATTATATTCTTTTAAATTTTCTTATCTATAGATTATATTCTCCTAAATTTAATTATTTTTAAACAATTGCAAAATGTCTAATATTATTATGAACTTAAATTATTATTTTGTTTCAGTAATTAGGGTTTAAGGTTGATGTTTCCTTATGATTAAGAATAAACAAATTTCCATTGACAGCGTATTTGAAAATCAGGATTCTAAGTATAACCAAACTTATTGTAATCAAACAATGTGTAGCTAAAAAAAGTGTCAATATATGCTTTAATCTTTTCAATAATAAAAGTTAAAACTGAACTTTTTAAATAACGTATTTATTGTGTCATTTACGGCAACTAGTACAATATTTATAATAAAAAGTTAAAGTAAGACTTACCACTTGGATGAAATTATTACGAGAATAAATAAATGGAATAGAATCATCCATTATTTATACTTCATTTACTAGGAAAAAAAAAGGTTTTCTTTGCACCTGACGCGCTTCTCAAACCCAGTAAACAATATCTTAAACAAGCTGTACGTGTCCATCAATATCTAAATATATTTGCTTACAAATCAACATATGCAACATATGTTTCCACAAATTTCTGTCATCATCTATAGCTTAGAATTTTTCGTCTTAATCTTTGATGACAGCACTTCATGATAAACAAAATATACTCAATCACAAGGAGGAAGCAGCAATAAAATGCACCTTTTAAGTTTTCACCGAAACTTAACAATGAAAATAGGAATTACGATCTTACTTTTACTTTACTTTGCCTAATCATTTTGTTGGCTAAGTCCGGGTTTTTCTAACATAACGGTCTTTAACGACCCACTCCCCTATTTGATATATTTTAATAAAAAAAATCTAACTTGATTCTAGATATTTTTTAAATCAGTTAATAACTTTTAACAGACATGAAAATTTGTATTAAAAGACCCATAAAATCCACGAGGAAAATTTCCAAAAAAGATATGAAGTCATTAAAGGCTGCTGGATTTTAAATTAGTATCCCGACTTCGTGATCTGTTTGGCTAGATAGAATGCATATGCTGTTTTTCAAGCGACATTTTTTTAGTTATAACTTTAAACTATAACTCTAAATTCCTACTATTTTACAACCACTGAGGTAAATTTATAGTTCCGGTGGCAACCTAGTAAAAACGTCCGTTGACTTTTAAAATGTTTTCAAAAAAATCTTGTTTAATAAATATACCACATTATTTTTGACGAAAACTATGTCATTCCAAATTTAATTAGATTCATTAATTTTACTATAATAAAATTCAGTAATAATACACTTTAAAAAAATACTGCACAGAAAAGAAGAAACGAAATCAAATGAATGCCCATTCATAAATATTTAAGTTCATTTTCTTAAACGAATCTGAGCTGTGTCCACGTTCAGAAATAAGTATTTTGAGCTATATTTATTTTCAAAACATGATATTTGAGCTGTATTCATTTTCGTAAACATGCATCTCGAGCTGTGTCCAGATTTAAAAACTCGTTGATGATAACTAACTGCTTAGTGTAAATCCCTAGAGATAAATCGTTTGCATTTTACATGAAAATTGAAATATAGTGTGAAATAAAAGTAATGAAATATTTTATTAGCAACAGTTAAATATAAAAACAAATAATTTTATCCTTAAATCATTAATCAGTTATAAATCAACAGGTTTAGTTGAGGAAAAAAACACAAGGTTGATTTAATTATTATTGATAAATTGTTAATTATTATTGATAAATTATTGATAAATCAAGTTATGCCATTAGTTTTCAAGACCAAACAAATATCAATCAATATAAAAAAAAGTTTTCTGTATTTTAGCGAAGGAAAATTAAAGTTCATTTTTCTATCTAAGTGAAAAGTAATAAGCATTGAATTTCTAAATTGTATTTTTATCTCAAAAAATTTATTTTGATGGACTTTCATATAAAAACTTGTTTTATTTTAGGAATTAAAGAATACGATTTTTAAGTTGGAGAAAAATCTTATAAAAAGCTGAGATTGCTTGTAACTCATTTTGATTTTCCGATATTTTGAAGGAAAGTAGAAAGAAAATCGGTTTTTTATTATTTTAGCGTATTGTTTACCATTTTATTATTCGATGAAAAATATTATATAGTACTAGTTAAAAACTTATTCGTTATACGAATTGAAATATAGTAAATAATCAACAAATTTGTTCTGCTCAACATTACAGAACTATACTAGCATACTAACAAAATTAATCAAGTAACAATTCTTTTATTCATTACTATATGCTCTTCCCGATTGGCGTTTACAAAACATGATTATAGAAGTTTATCTCATTAAAATGCAGATTAATTATAATCTTTACCATTTGACGTAATTCTATTGCTGGAGGTAAAGTCCTGACAATAAAAAAATAAACAAAAATTTTCTCCGGTACTTATTCTTTTTGATAGACCTTAAGTACCTATTTTCACAGTGCCTATGTAATAGATATCTTGATATAAATACTAGTATCTTTAGTTCCTACTTAAAGGTAAAATATCTACCTAGTTGGAGGTGCGATATAGCCAAGTCTGACTCTTGCGCCCAAAACCCGAACAACCAAACCATCCTACTAAAAGCATCAATTAACGTAATATCAGTAGGAATTACTACCGAAATTGATTTGAGTACTTAATATAGAAATTCTTTATATTTCTTCTAACCAAATAAGTGTCTGTTTTCCATATCTGTTTTTCATTATTTGAGCCTTTCAGAAAGAAAAAAATATTTAAATATGTATCTATTATAAAAATTAACTGAGGATCGTCAGCATTAGTAAAATTATAGCACTTCTTCACGGTTGTCATTTACTAACAAGTACATTTACCCCCGTAATTTAGCTTTTTATTACAAAAGTATTCTTTTACTTAAATTTTTAATTATTAAAATAATAATCAAGTGCAATTCTCGAAATTAATAGTAACAACACGAATATTTTTATAGTCATTTTCGACGAATTGATACGGATACTTTTGAAGGCCGTAAAGAATTGTCAAATTATTATTGACGCCAGTGATGCTTAATTTAATATGGTATGAAATACTACTGATATTGGTCTTATATAAGTGTCGTGGAAATGAGAAGTTTTCATACAAAGATAGGTGAGTAAAAAGGAATAGGTTTTTACCTATTCTGAAATTGATAAGTTCCCTAAATTGACCATACCACTCATTCATGACGATGAATACACAGCATTTATTTGTTTTCGTTTTGTTTATTCCGGCGTGTGGTTTCATACTATTAAGTTTACCTCAATATAAGTTAAAAGCTCAACTAACGATATTTAAAATTCAATATACATATAATAGCATTTAACCTGTGGTCACCTATGATGCGTTAGGTTTATTTTTCAAATTAATTTAGTCAACTTACCTAGAGTGATTAATATCATTTTATCTAAGCAAAGTTTCGCCGAATTCAGATTTTGTTTAATGACTTCTACATTCCTATTCTAATCTAATGCTCTGATAAAATCGAACTTTACTAAAATAAATCTCTTCGATTCTCCCTACGTGTGAAAAACTATGGATTTGCATATCAAGAGTATTGATGGAAGGAAGAGACAGCGTTTATGTGCTCTCTATTATGAATAAAATTGAATGTGTTTTGTCTCTTCAGGAATTGTGTCCATTTTTAGTGAATGCGTAAACAAGAAAAACTTAATCCTCAAATGGGTAGCAAAGGAAATTTCATTAAGTTTAATCAATTTAAAATAAACAATTAATTTTGCAGATTTTTTTAATATTAAATGCAGAAACGCAGTTTTGGTTTAATGGATGTTTTACATTTACTCCATTGTACATATTTTTTAACTCGATTTTCTAAGACCTTCTAAAGTTAGACACATTAGCAAAATCATGGATTATAAGAATTTAAGTGGCATGCGAAGAACATACGTTGAAATATTAAGTGGAAAACTTAAATAAAAAACAGTTTTTGGAATATCGTGAACAGCATAATATTGAGGTAATACTTTCATGTTGTCACTCGATTTCAATTTCAATTCTAGTTATTACTCAATTCCTAATTAATTTTGGAGCAATAGATTTCATGCATGTTCCGTTAAACTCGCTCTTTTAAGTTCTTATATCACCATCAATCAAGTATCATATTATATTTCTCAAAAATAATCATCATTGGTAGAAGATTCATATAGGCGGTGTGAAATCAGTCCTCGCTCCTAACTAATCAAATTAAACTGTAATTTTACAATACATATATTTCTTTTTGCTAGAAAATATTAAAAAGAGAAAATAGTAAAACGATAGAATATGATTGTTATGCCTGGATGATATTCTTCTGTCCTTTTCTTTATCCGCATAGTAACATAGTAATGATTCCTTTTTATTTTATTCCATGAGACGTTTATCATGATACGTATTTATTTTGTCATTTACATAGCTCTTTTCAATTTCTATATCAGCATCAATCAAGTAAAATAATTTATTAATCCCCTTAAATATATATACAAGCAGCATTAGCTAAGATTTCAGTCCTGTTAAATTGTTCTCCTAACCTGTTTGTTCCATTTCTTTAAAAAAAAATTTCTAAACTTTTATTCATTTTTATCTAAGTTCAGGTCCGTTACAGCCAAACTGTAGGGTGATCCAATGAAGTGCCGTACTACCAATGAAGTGTCATCGTTTCGAATCCTTGTGATAGCTGGTAGATACGAATTCCGCAAGCGGCTTCCAACGACCACAGTACTGACGCAAAATATCCTCAGTATTAGATTGATCACGGGTTGAGTCGCCTTGGCGTCAGGCAAACCATGGAAGATCTTCGTGGTTTCCTCTCCATGTGATTTAAAGGCGGGGTAGTTCCATCAATATATTCCACTGCAAAGACAAAATGTTTACCAATACTTTATCCAGGGTTCAATTTTCTTCTTAAAAAAAATATTGCCCTTGTGCAAAATGAAAATATTTTAATGAGTTATTGCAAAATAGAAAACAGCCGACAAGACAATAAACTTTGCTGAACAAAAAGGAAGAAATTTACTGAAAAAGTTTCTTTGTGCTTAAGTAATAAGTAATTTTAATAACATAATGGTTTTAATAAGTAAAAATAACAGGAAAAACATCTTTTACTAGCATCAAATTCGTACCCCCCCTCTATTATTTAATTGAATGTGATATTTTATTTCTTAGATACTTCTTAGAAATATGAAATAAATAACTAACTAGAAACAAAGAAAAATAGATAAAAGAGATTCTTGTTAAATGAAAAAAAAATCTGCCAAACTACTCGTGGTTGGAAAAATGAAATATCTTCGATTTTTTTTTATCTTTTATAAAATGACCGAAACAAATAAAAAAACTAAGTTAATTGATTTATGAAGAAGTACAAAAGAAGTTCCAGGAAAATCAATCAGGATATATTAAAATACTTTTGTTCCCTTAAATTGAAAAAAAAAATAAACACTTTTACATTTCCTAAGGATATCTGTTTTAATTAAAAATCATTCTTGTTG